AAGTACTTCAAATATTTATATGAATCTCATTTCAATAACCTTGCTCCACTTTTTCTCCATTGTGCTGAAATCTGAAGTTGATGGTTCCATTAGGCTGAAAATTATACGTTATCTCATTAAAGGTACCACAAATCACTTAGAGAACATACAATTATACCCCAAATGGGATGGTATTGCTCCCATTGAACGTAGAGCTTCCATAAAACCCATTCCTGATAGACCGAAAACAAACGATTTATCATGTAGAGACAATAATATTGCATCATTTGAAAATTCTGTGACAGTATTTTCAACAGCTCCAACTGAAAGCGAGTTTCAATATATAAAGTCGGTTTCGAGTTAGGCATCAAATCCCATCAAAAATTTGGTCATAATGAAATCATTCTGTGTGAATTGTATTGAGAAGATATTCAGATGATGGCCATTCCAAGTTTGACTGTATCCCAAGATAATATTTTGTAATTGGATTCAAGACACCTCAAGTACATCTTATGTAATAGGGACAGATATGCATCAGAAATATATCGGATAGGCAATTATGGAACATATTACTTCGCCCTCATGTTCAACTAGAAGTTTTGCAGTCTTGAACAAATCATTCCATCACAGAAACGAAGTTTAGTATCATGGTATAGATATAACGGAAGAGCTGATAATAATATTTATGACTTTCCAGAAATAAATGCAATGACAAACAGTCATAAGTGGCAGCTAGTGAAACTGGTAACATTTCGTTGTTTGTAGAAGAACCGATGAAAATGCATGACCAACGTCTCAATAGTTTCTCTTTCATCCTGTTTTACCATACAGTGACATAAGTTTGAGATTATTTTTATCTGACCCATACTCCAATGGCCATGTTTTTTCAGGCATTCGGTATAAAACCATAGGATCGCGTGTTCTATTCATGAGATATGAAAATAATGAGTTTTGTATCTGCGACGTGAACGTGCATAACACAGTGTGGAGCAGCACGGACGTGAATGCGCGGGGTGAAGCGCTACTATATCTAGCATCAACAACTAATTTGGTGATACTGAACGAAGCAACGAGTCCAACATTCTCTAATCGAATTCCACAGGAAGTGATTGAAGTTACGCTAGCGACCATACACGTACTGAAAATCATAAAGGATTTATTTATTTATTCATTTATTTATTTCAACGGTTACTCCATTTTTATAAAAAAATAAAAAAAAAACAAAAATATGAATAATAATAGTAGGAGCAATGAAAATTCGGAGGAGGTATCGAAAGACATTTCAATGTCCGACCACCGAATGATGAGGTTCCAATCATATATGCGGAGATGGAAAACGTTTCCTGACGCCGTTACCTCAAAGTGAAGAACTGAGAGACCTTTCTGAAACAACAACCGAAGTACGCGTTGGCGCAGGCGCAACTTGACCAAGAAATAGAGAGACTAGAAGACACAATGAGAAGAGCGTTTGGAAAGGCATGTCCATTGAGAGCTGTTCCTATGCACCAATTGCCCTTGTGGAATCGGACACTGAGGGATCTGGAGAGAAATACTAGGAAGGCGCTCGACAAGAAGGCGTATGACGAGTATAGAACCACGACAAGAGTTTTCAAAAAAGAGCTGAAAAAAGTGAAGAAACATGCTGGAATAACAAATTATGGGGAGATCGACTTTCCCACGGAATTTGATAGACTCATAAGTATTATGGGTAGAGAGGCAAAAGGTACTATCACAACCCTGAAGAAATCAGATAGTACTAAGACGACATCCTATAAAGATTGACTCAGCCATCTACTAGAGGTACACTCGTCTTCAGAGATCATGTCGCAAACGAAAAAAAAAAGCAACACAGTATGAAAGTATTTCAAACCCATCATTCTAACATAATTTTTGTTGAAAACCATAGAGAAGTTGGTAGGGAAGTTCCTTATGAAATTGCCTCTGGGATTGAGCTCCTCTCATAGGAAGGAACACGCCTATATGAGGAGAAGGTTGATTGAGTCGGTCCTCCTCTTCGTAGTACAAAAGGTTAAGAAGACATCGAAATACGAAGAGTTGACGTTAGGAGTATCCTTCGACGTAGAGGGAGCTTTTGACAAGGTGAGGATAGTGACGATACGTTTGGCATTAGAAACAGGGAGAACTCCTCCTCCATTGAAGCTGACCTAGTATGTTACACAGACGAATCTTGCCTGACTGACAAACAGGCCTCAGGCTCAACGGTTCAATTCGAAGGACGAAACATAAAAGAGTTCATTGCTCTGGAAAAATACATTAAAGTCTTCCAAGCTGAGGTGTTCGCAATCCTGTGAAATCAGGAAGGCAATGGGTAAAAAAGAGGTCATAGCGAAAGATCTTCATCTGTTCGGACATTCAGGCAGCACACAAGAGTATCTATCATCTCGGATCAAGCTTGGTATTGGTACAGGAATTTGTAAATACTCTTATGAAATCAGCAGAATCGAAGGGAGTTGAACTGGTATTGGTCAAGGGTCACAGTAAGGTGCCAGGACACAGTCGACGAACTCGCTAGAGCCCATCCTAGATATAGCAAGTATTCAAACTACGTCAGCCCTTGAATGAATGAGTAAACCAGAAGGCACCAGAAGGATACTGATGGAATATCACAGGTTGCAGGCAGGCTAAGGAATTAGTGACCAGTCTGAGCAAATCGAGAGATGACTGGCTGCTAGGCAGAGATTGCCAGGTACTTTGCCCTTTCATGAAAGTACTCACAGGACACATCCGACTAGGCAGACACCTTTCACTCATAGGAATAGAGTGCTAGGCGTATGGATAGCTGAGATACAATATATTTATAGTCGTCAAACTCCAACGGAAGGAATTGATCATATCAGGGTGGACGGACAAACTCGCTTTCATTGAGAGGCCCGGGAGATTCGTAAAGAGAATCTAGGTTATGGTTGTGTTGATATGTGAAAGCAGGAGTTAGCATAAAGAAGCCAATAAGGCCTACTTGCTCGGTTACAGCCTTCCTACCATACCACTACTACTACTAGTGAAAAATCAAGAACCTACTCGATACAAATCACCAAGTTTCGAAAAGTAAATGAAATCACCGAATCAGTAAGGCCGCCTTCTCGTTTTCTTGTTTACTTCCTCAATGATGTCTGTTGATTTGACATGCTTACAGTGATTGTTAAAACGTTCATCAATGTTACTTACGATGAATCTAATTTGGCAAGACCGCCACTTTTTCTGCGAAATTTATCAGGGTTTTCACATGTAAAATCAGTGAAAATCATGTATCCATTGATTGCTATAAATTAAATGCTATTATAGATGAAAGTACTTTTGAAACGCTCGTTCACCAGTGCAAGCTCACATTTGAATTGACAATTTCGAGAATGTCATGATTTTATAATGTAACAAGAAATTGTAATAACCGTTATATTACATTTGTTGGGAAGGGCGCCATTTTGTTTTGATGAAAGCTTTTTCAGGATTTTTCTATGTCGAATCACTGAAACCTATAATATACTGTACGATTAATGAAAGTTTCATGCACTTAACAACAATTGCACAATTGTTACCGAAATCTGAACCTCTTCATTGTTGTTAAGGAGGGACCTAGTAGTTGAAAGAGCGTTGGAAAATATAAATAGAGTTCAAATCAAACATGAAAGCAATAACGATTTTGCCACAGTTCCTTTCGATTCCATCAAGTGATCTGTAAATAGCGATTGGAATGATAAATTTGAGGCACAGAATCCGATATAATTTCTTAGAAGATATGCAGAATCCTTGGTTCAATTCAGTCGCCGAAACAAAAAAATAGTCTCATCAAGCAATTTATTCAAGAGGTAGAGATAGGAGAATGGAGTATCATCGATATGTTTTGGCAAATACCATCCAACCTCGAACATATAACTCTGAATGCTGGAACTGAGAACATGTTTGAGTTCAATTCATTCATTATCTCAGAACTTGATAATGCTTCAACAGATTTTCGACGTTTCAGAAAGTCAACTGCAATTTAAACTGTTCAACAATGCGGAATTCTTTATTTATCAAAATTATAAGTGTGTAAAGTTTTGAGTCACGTGTATTTTCAAATTTGGAGAATATGGGTTCTCATTTCATCAGATACCTATCAAAACCATGTTCTTCATCATATGATATATGAATATTTTTTATTTCCAAAATAATATCACCAATACGATGAAATAGGGCACTCTTCCAGCATAAACAATATTTCAACTGATGATATCTAGAACCTCATTCATGTAAGTTAGGTCACTTTACAACGAAAGCGACAACAAATTGAAATTCTCCACATATCATCTAATTTTGGCATCGCAGAATTCTTGGAGCAGTATTCTGGTGGCCCAGGGTTCGTATTCCAGAAAGAGAGGAGGCTATTTCCAAATTGTAGCACATCACAGGACGTTGGATGTGATGTCTGCAACACCAGCGAGGTCGATCAAATCTCTACCAGAAGTGAGACACAACCATTCCCTTTATACTAATACTACTACCACTGGTGACGAAATCGCAAATCAATTCTTCGGAATTCAACGAATATAGAAACAGTTGGAGGAGAATCCCAATCCCGTTAAATTTCAAGTATACGAAGTGACTTGATGAAGTTTTCAAAGAATCTAATCTGAGTCAAAATTGAGCTATTGATTAGGCGATTCGAAAGATAAAGTGGACATACTTGAAAAATCGAGAATATACGAAATTAGTTGTGATGATTGTGATGAAACATATATACGTATAGGCCAGCGACCCATACAAATGAGTTTCAAAAAACATCTAGCACATTTAGAATATGGTTGATTTGATCATTCGAGTGTAGCCGATCACATGTTTGATGCATCGCGTCATATTTTCGATGGTTCAATCTGTATTTTGATGTCTATCATGTGCTTCGTCGTTTTTCTTTCAGTAGTGTACTTGACAACTATCTTATTCAATTATTCATCTGTTCGAATAAAGCCGAACATCATACTGTTATCACCTCTCACACAATCATGAATTGAGTCTGTTGCACTTACCTTCACAAATGCTTCCAGATCTTCCGAGAAAGGCTTTGACGTATACACGCCTTTGAGCTCAATTCCTACTTGAGTTTTATTCTCCACATTCATTGAATCTTGTACAAGCAAACTAGGATCAGCGTCATTGAGTGCAGCGAGTTGAACCACCGTTTCTTCTATAAGATAAAAATATGTTAGTTGCTTCTTTGTATCGATTATCCATGTGGATTCACAAGAGATGTCCAGATCGATTTTTAGAATTTCAGAAAGTGTATCCATTCGAACTCTATACCTGACCCCAGTACTGAATTGATTATAAAAAAATCATCAATACATGCATGTCATGTGGTGAAATGAGCACATCTGATATATATATATATATATAGTAAAAGATTGTAGGTTTAATCCGTTCCGTGAGTGGAATGTCAATTGGTGCAAGACAGTCTGTTTCAGCTCTCCAAGCATCATCAGTTGCACTAGGCCAATCGACAATCCACTCACGGACCGGTCACTATTTGAAGACCAACATGTAGTCTTCAACAGTGCGGAATACGGATGTTTGGTACAGTGCCACCTACTAGCACTAGACAGAAACGTGCTTTTCGGGCAGCGACGTAGGAGTACAGATTTCTCTGTTACTACACCTACGTGCCCCGAGTGCACCTCGATAGTGTGGTATTAACTACAGACAGAGTAGAGAAGAAGAAAAAAGATATTGTGTATGAACACAGAGCCAGAGTATGAAGTAAAAGATTGTAGGTTTAATCCGTTCCGTGAGTGGAATGTCAATTGGTACAAGACAGTCTGTTCCAGCTCTCCAAGCATCATCAGTTGCACTAGGCCAATCGACAATCCACTCACGGACCGGTCACTATTTGAAGACCAACATGAAGTCTTCAACAGTGCGGAATACGGATGTTTGGTACAGCGCCACCTACTAGCAATAGACAGAAACGTGCTCTTCGGGCAGCGACGTAGGAGTACAGATTTTTCTGTTACTACACCTACGTGCCCCGAGTGCACTTCGATAGTGTGGTATTAACCACAGACAGAGTAAAGAAGAAGAAGAAAGATATTGTGTATGAACACAGAGCCAGAGTATGAAGTAAAAGATTGTAGGTTTAATCCGTTCCGTGAGTGGAATGTCAATTGGTGCAAGACAGTCTGTTTCAGCTCTCCAAGCATCATCAGTTGCACTAGGCCAATCGACAATCCACTCACGGACCGGTCACTATTTGAAGACCAACATGTAGTCTTCAACAGTACGGAACGGATTGAACCTACAATCTTTTACTTCATACTCTGGCTCTGTGTTCATACACGATATCTTTCTTCTTCTTCTTTACTCTGTCTGTGGTTAATACCACACTATCGTGGTGCACTCGGGGCACGTAGGTGTAGTAACAGAGAAATCTGTACTCCTACGTCGCTGCTTGAAAAGCACGTTTCTGTCTAGTGCTAGTAGGTGGCACTGTACCAAACATCCATATTCCGCACTGTTGAAGACTACATGTTGGTCTTCAAATAGTGACCGGTCCGTGAGTGGATTGTCGATTGGCCTAGTGCAACTGATGATGCTTGAAGAGCTAAAACAGACTGTCTTGCACCAATTGACATTCCACTCACGGAACGGATTAAATCTACAATCTTTCACTTCATACTCTGGCTATGTGTTCATACACAATATCTTTCTTCTTCTTATATATATATAGATATATTATATTATTATCATTATCATTATTATCATTATTATTATTATTATTATTATTGATGTTATCATCATATTATTATATCATATCACCAGATAACAGGTTTTCAGGCCCTCTATATGATGTGAAGCAAAATCAGCATTGATCACAATTCTTGTCGTTCCTCTCAATTCTTATAGAATGTGACTTTTATTGTTCTATAAAAACATATTCGGCACAAGCTAACGGCGGTACTTTGTAAGTATGCACTCATTAGTCCAATAAGAACTTGAGAAGGGGCGCCACATCAGCTTTTCAATCAGAGCAAGAATTATCTGTTGATTTGGGTAGTTTCACATCCCAGAAGTACTTTACGGGGTGTTGACCAGCTGAAATAGACATGGAAATAATATGATGGTCGAAATGATCATGGGGATAATTCATCAAGATCAACAAATGAATTAGATTCAAAAATGAAACAACAGTATCTTTGCCATGTTGGCGTAGGGTGTATATGGACGTCAAATATGTAACAGATTCACAGTAATGCAGACATTTTTTCATTAATTATGAATCGAAATATAGAGATGATATTAGATACTTTGATGAATCTCAAATGGATTCATCCATTCTGGAGGAATCTTGTCGACGCATGAACTACTTTGAGTGAGGATTATGAATCTTGGTGGTATATTATGAATGTCCAGAATCTAGAACGTGAACTATTTGGGGTATTATGATCATATAGATGCATTAAAAACACTCTCTGCCTGCTCTCCTGATGATGTAACCATTGCATCACTATGGAGGAATTAGAGTAGTAGGCTTCTTTTCTAGTGAAAACTATTCGAGACTCATTTCATACAGTGTGTACCAAAATGATGTACAAATTCATTGTTCAAATGGAAATTGAAGGGAGGTAATTCATTTCCAAATACTTCAAGAATCAGCGCTGATGCTGTGAATCTAATGCTGTAAGGAGACCCACCCGGAGGGCAACATCGTGGTAGTAGTAGTTCACTAGAAGTCGAAGATGTAATTTAGAAAAAAAAATTGTTCTGAATAAATGGACCTATTCAAGTACGGGAGTGATTTTTCGAAAATGATATTTTGAAGTAGATAGATAACATTCATATATACTTTGTGAAAACCACCCTAAAAAACAGATTCGTCCCTAATCATCAAGTGATGATATAATCAACATTCACACTGACCTAAATGATATATGTTCAAGACTGTATTGTCTTGAAATCAGAATCACACACGCGGGGAATTTCTCGGGATATGATGATTTTCATTGTGGTCAGCTCATAATAATCAAGCATTTATGTCAACTGAGAATTATTGATGAGTTTTCGAGATTCAATTGCTGACATAACTCAGGAATGTCAGTGTATTATAATCACAGTAATATATTTGTATTTGTGCAATTGGAAACAAGTTATAAACGACAAGATGTTTTCATTATATTCTGCATGATACAACATGTTTTGCTAATACAGTAGCTCCTTGAAGTCAAATTTCTATAATGAATGGATAGATTCAACATTGATTTGCATGACTTGTATCCACTTATAATCTCCAGAGATTTGAATCACCTGCGTGCAGGCTATTCGATATTTCATTTAGAAAAGAATGCACAATATCTACAATAAAATTCATTGTGGCGGATTTAAAATGATGCAAATGTGTCACTAACTGAGTAAAAGAATTGATCAGAATGAATCTTCGCCACTCCTCCTCTTCCACAAGTTCACATTTTCGGATTCGAAATTCGACGGTTCGTCTTCTAGAAACCATCATCACCTCATTTTTCCAAATACGAACCTGCATCTTCTATTGAATTTTTTCATACCTTTCAATATCTCGAAATCTATGAGCTGAAACAAATTCTCATCAGTTCTCTTCAGTTCACTATAATCGACATTTTCTCTATTTTTCATGATCTTCATTCAGTAACTATCGATTTTTGTGAAAGAAACATTTGGAAATGAAAATTCATAATAATTCTCATCTTTCAGAATATCCGAAGGTGTGGAAAAATTGAATGACAAAATCAGGGACTGTATTTGAAAAAACGAGTTGATGATGGTTTCTGGAAGAAGGAACGTCGAATATCGAACGACAATTTCAAGAAAAGAGGATGAAGTGTAATGCATTCCAAATAATTAATCATGATAACTTGAGGAAGAAAAATGAAGGAGATTCAGATTTTTCCGTATTCATCTTCCAAAAGTGTTCAAATTCTTTTTATGTTCCGAAATGACATGTTCATATGTATGAGATTGCGAAGCCATGCTATGATTCAACCAACCCTGTATCTCTCACGGGTAACGATATCCAAATGATGAGACGCGAATTTTAGCCACCCTGTACAGTGTGAAAACCTATGATGGAATGAAATCTTGAAAAAAAAACGATTTGACTTTGAGCCTCTTGCATTTATTTAACATTTCATTCCACTTTGAGCATTGTGGCTGTTTCGTAGTTGAAATTACGCCAGTCGGGCAACTAGCCACTTTCGTATGGAAATTTCAGTCTTGGAGTGATCCTTTTCTTCTGTTCCACTCGGATAGCGTTGCTTTCATATTGTCGATGAAAGACGCCTACGGGGGAATATGATGCCGACTTGATCTTTGTTTGGCTAGACTGCGCTGAATCGGCGGTATCAGGACTGCTGGCTGGAGACTACACTGCACTGATAAGAGTCAAAGATCTTGAAATCGGTCTGTGGTTGTCTAGCGAAGCCTGGCTCAATCGGAATCAATAGGCATTCAGGAAAGAATCACTTGTATAAGTATTCGTTTATACGAGTCGATGCATAGATTTCGGGATGATCTAATTCAATGTTCTGCGTGGCATTTGCCAGAAAAGTAGTTGTTTTTCTCCCGCAATCTACCACTGTTGTTCATTTCATGAACATTGTGTGGAAATGACTTTGAGCTATCTGCATTCATTCAATATTTCATCCCACTTTGAGCATTGTGGCTATTTCGTAGTTGAATTATTAAACCTATATTCAAAATGAGTTAATTCTGAACGTCTGTCTACGCCTATTTACAATGAAACAGTACATACCTCTCATCAGATTGTACATATGCTCAGAAAGATATTCAAAATGGCAAACTCATTTTCAATTTCATTTGAATAACTTTCTGTTCGAAGTAACTTTTTGAAAAAAATATCATACAAAAGCTTCTGAACAATTCGGATTCAAATTCAAGACTGAGAAATGAAGGTGTCATGGGCCCCTTACTGATTCTAGGAAATATGTTGATCTTTCATTATCTGGCGTCCAATTTTGATGATGTCTGTGGTTTCCGTAGTTCTCGATGCTCACGAAAATGTATCTTGTGTGTGGAATAATCACAATGAAAAATTACCTACAAGTACCATTTATTCAGACAAGAATTACAATAAATTCCAATTATTTCGATTGCTGCCTAGCGAATATAATTTACCCAAATTGAGAATGAAGACTGTTGTAT